ACAAATCAGAGGAAAATCGTTCAGATCATCGCCCTGAATTCAAGCTGACCGATATTTATCGTCCAGAAGTAACTAAGGTTTTTGAACATATCGGCCCGGTCGATCCTGAGATCGTCCAGGCCGATATGATCGTAACAATCATCCTTAATTACTTCCTTGATTTGTCTGATCAATTAAGGCATAATTGTAAAATATCGTCCAGGTCGATCCAAGATCATCCTGGCTGATTACCAAAAATATAGAATACCTTAATTGTTTATGGCGGCAATTTTTTTCTTTTTTGAGCTTATCATCCTGGCCGATACATGTATCATCCAGGCCAGTCTGTTAATGACGGCTGCCTTAATTAAGAATCCCTGATTAGAATTTCTGTTTTAAGCCAGATCATCCAGGACGATGTAAATATCGTCCTAGCATATTTGAGTAAAAATAGAATTTCTAAGTCTCTCAAGTGTGTGTGTGTAGGGTTACTTAGTATCAGTCTCTTTGAACATTACATATAGACTCAAGAAGAGAAAAAGCAAAGTACAGACTGACTCATTCCTAACCTACGCAATCTTGAATTGGCTTCGTTTGTTCGTCCGATCTTCGATTCCTGAAAAGTTAGAAGTAACATGTAGTCCAAGATAATCAATAGTGTTTGTAAATCATCAAAACATAAGTCATGAAAATAGATTTGCAACAACTACCTTGTGTTTGTACGCAAGTAGTAGCTCATGCATACAGATCCCAAATAACTTGAATATAAGCATTATTAACCCTTTTTTTTTTCTAGAACTCTTCATAGCAATTCTCTTGGAACTTTATCATATGTTTTCTCTAAATCAATAAATATCATATGTAATCCTCCTTATTCTCTCTAAACTTCTCCATCAATCCTCTCAATAAATGAATAGCTTCCCTAGTAAACCTACCTTGCATAAATCCAAATTGATTTTGAGAAACATTAGTATCATGTTGTAATCTATGATCCATAGCTCTCTCTCAAAATTTTCTAGTATGATACATCAATTTAATTCCTCTATTATTCGTACAATCTTATGCATCAGCATTATTCTTAAAAATAAGAATCAAAACACTAAATCTCCACTCATCTAGTATATTTTTAGTCTTCAAAATAATATTAAAAAGTTTAGTAAGCCAAGAAATTCCTTCATCTGCTAAGCATTTCCACACCTCTATTGGAATATCATCAGGCCCAATGGTTTTTCCACACTTTTTTTTCTTTAAAGCTTCTTTAACTTCAATTTTACTAATCCACCGATTAAAAAAATATATTTTTCATTCAAAGTGCTAAGGTTACTAAAGACAATCATATTATCACAATCTTCATTGAAAATCCTAGCATAATATCTCATCCTCTGTTGTTGAATATCCTCTTCTAAAAAAACACTCTTTGATCTTCATCCTTAATGCACTTCACTTGTATTAAATCCTTACTACTATCTCTTTGTTTGGCCAACTTATACATATATCTTTCACCCCTTTAGAATCTAATCTATTATATAAATCATTAAAAGTTAAAATCTTTGCATTACAGATTGCTTTCTTAGACACCTTACGAGCCTCTTTATATATTTCTCATTTTTTAGAGTTTTTACATCTAAATCAATTATTATAACAAAGCTTCCTATTTTTGATCTTTTTTTTGCACATTTGATTTCACCATCAAGTATTTTTATTATTTGGAACTTTTCCTTCTAAAATTTCAATTACATCATTTGTAATATTATAAATATTACTAGCTACTTTTTTCAACATAACATTCGCTTCTTCATGCACAGACAAAATTTTAATATCTCAAATCTTACTCTTAAAAATACTTTTGTTAGTGTTCTTCTAATCTTAGAATAATATTTAACTATATTTTTCATATGCCCTCATCTAATCAAATAATATTCTTCATCATAAACTCCAAAACTAATAGATTATGTTGAATATATAAACTTTCACTTGAAATAACTTTACAATCTTTGCAATCTAAACAATATATTTTTTTAAAAGAAAATAATCAATCTGAGTTTTGTTATAATAATTCTCATAAGTGATGAGATACTCATCTATTTTCTTAAATAAGATATTAGCAATTACAAAATCAAAAGCTAGAGCAAAATTTAATATTCTTACCACCCTCATTAATCGCTACAAACTCATAGCCACCTTTAATACTATTAAAATCCTCCACCTCTTTATCAACATTTTTCATTTAAATCTCCTCCATAAAAAAAATTTTTTTCAAGAGATCTTTTGAATTAATTTTTTGAATGCATAAAATATTTATCTTCTTTTTCTTTTCTTTTTTCTTTTTTTTGAGAATTGCAAAATGCGTTAAAAAGAGCAAAGATAAAAAAAACTATTACAAACTAAATGTAGGGTTCACATTCCTTCTTCAATAACCTAGATAAGGAAGAAGGTATGCTATCAAAATCAGAATTATCAAAGAAGAAATTATTCTCAATAGCCAAAGTAGCACAACAATCCGCTACCTTGTTACAATTTCTAAGGACATGATGAAAAATTACCTTGTTGAAGTCGATTAGGAAGATGAGATCCTTGTCCTCCCAATTATTAATCCTCCAAGTATCTTTATTCAAAGAATTTTGAATGCATTTCATAAAATATTCATCTTCATATGAATCATACTATCAATTAATTCCATTATTTTTCCTATAAAGGAACCTACATTCCAATATCCTATCTGAACTCTAGTTTCCTAGCCTAGCTTCTTCGCCCACATCCAGCTATGATTCGGGAATCCTTGCCTATTTAACAGTACCCGAACATCGATGCATCGACCCTTGCACACTTCTTGCATTATTAATGTCATACAACACGTCGTTTCTAGGAAACGTCCTAGCACTAACACAATGAATTAAAAATTTTATGTCATGATAATTTGATAAATTTTATGTTGGCTATCACCTATCTAATACAACCATCCACTTTTCTCATCTAGGACTTGAAACTTGACAAAAACAGTGTTATCTTTGACATAACTTAACAATAAATTGGTTTAAAAAAAATCATTTTAGAAAAAATAAAGGTTTCCAAATAATATGATCTTCTATCTCAATATTAACCGAAATCACAGGACTAAAACCAAATTTATCCTGAAAGCAATATAAGACTTGTGTAACCAATTAACCAATGGATGACTGCTTACGCTAACTGCTAAAGTAAATATCATGTAACTTGTAAATTGGAACTATTAGCAAACCCAGTAGATGGGCAAAGTAGCACTGATACACAACATTCATCATTAGTCTTAACAAACAAAGGCACCAGCTCAAGTAACCATTATTGGCAAGACCAACGATCTGTATAACAACTCTCTCTCTCTCTCTCTCTCTCTCTCACACACAAATACAAACACAAACACACAATATCAAGACATGTACACCTCAACACTTGCAGTCTTCCTTGTAAAGCAAGCAGGGCAAGCTTCCACCATTGCATCACAATCCCTGCACAAGCACAAGTGCCTGCAGGGTAGTAAAAGCATGCAGGATTCCCTCCCTTTACAACCTTTACATGCAATGGTCAGCGTGTGTTTCCGCCCATCCTTGAAAGAATTAGGGTAGAATGATGAAGCAGCATCGTCTACTTCACTCTCACCACATCCCTCCCTGCCCTGGTTAGCTGCCGCCGCTGCAGCAGCAGCACCTTGAGCAATCGTCTGTTGGAGGCTGGATCGCAAAGCATGCACAATTGACTCATTGTACTGTGCACGCTGCTGCCATGTCTGAGCCTCCGCAGCAGCCTGACGGATTTGATCGGCAAGCTCGTGATTCTTCCGGTTCATCGACTCAATCTCCAGGTCCTTGGCCCGGAGCTTTCGGGATAGTTCTTGGTCAATAATGTTAATGAAAGAAGCCACATGTCGCTGCTTCATCTCTCTCAAACCTTTTGCAAGTTGTTCCTCCTGCAGCAAATATATGGTTGAATCAGTCTAGAGGCTTGGGCGATGAAGTTTGAATAAATGTGGCACATTCAATAATAGGAAATTTGTTATGAAAATAAAGAAAAAAAAACTCATCATAGTTTGCCATTTTTGACGTCATTGTCCTGGTCACATGAAGACAAACTCCTACCTGGAATCTTAGATATCGGTTGAATTCTGCATTTTGAAGTTCGATCTCAGGGCCTATGTTGTCAAAAACAGCAGGAGTGAAGGGGAGAGATGACATGCTCTCACTTGCTGTCGTGACTGAGGAATGCCGTTCCTCATCATCATAGGACAATCTCAGACCAGTGGAGACAGTATTCACCTGGGGAATGCTTCTTGATCTATGAGTTTCATCCCGAAATAGATTATTAAAGGAGATCTGATTGTTCTGCGTTATTATGTCTACAGACTCTGAGCTTCTCTTGTTTCGTACGTTTAAAGCAGATGCATCATTGTTATCATTCACTTTAAGTTTTATCTGATCAGCATCACAAGCCGCAGAAACTGCAATCGAGATGCAAAATCAACAAGATTATCCAACATGCTGAAAAGCCAGTGAGACAGAAGAATAGACAGAAATGCAGGACTCAGACAAATTCGCTTAAGCCTAACAAATTGTTCCACAAAACGCGATAGTTACTAATATTCTATGGACCCAGTTGTTCAGGATATTACAACTAAATTTCATAAGAGTAAAGAATCATTATTGAAATGAATAAAAAATTTAAATAGAAATAAATTATAAGTAAGATGTAAGAACGCAACAAGCAAATAAAAGTACAGAAAAATGATGACATAAAATGACGAAGGTTTCTTTTGTAGAAAATGAAGTTACAAACTTTCTCATGGAGTTGTATAAGCTACACTACAAATATATCACAATGGTCAATTAAGCTATGGAGATGCACAAAGTTTAGGGCTTTCTTCTGCACATTTTATACACAAATCAATATTTTGATATGCCAGATTTTTGAAAAACCAAAGCAGAACAAAACTACCACTTTAAAAAAAATCCTAAACTTTAATTGAGCAATAGCACTTATGGCTCGGTAAGTAAGAAATAAGGCTAGTGGACACTCAAAACCAGAAGGGACCATATAAATGAAACTACGAGTACCCTCCAAGCTAGTCATCATCTAAAGTAGGCTTAGCTTTGTATTCAGATTCGCAAAAAGCAGGACACAACTAAAAACCATTAAGGTGCTTAATTTAAGCTGGCTTTAGTAAAGCAAATTTGGACAGTTGCGTGTAGAATCAAAATCATTACATTTAAGGGAGTTTTGGGAGGCTTTGTGGACCTTTAAGCCAATGCTCATTTCCAACTACACCCAAACAAATGATGGAACAAACAAATTCTACTGTTTTTCAAAACATATTTAGAACTTCAAGCAACCAAATGAGGCCTAAGTACAAAACACAATTTAATAAAGAGCCTTCAAATAATAATATATTTATATTAAACCATAATTCAACTCACTATAATCATGGGCATCTAATTAGGCTCGCCATTTCATTCCCTTTATTTTGAAACCGGCGGAGCCACACTCAATTATCTTCTATGAAGAAGCATAAACTTGCTAGATGAAGCTTAATTTCTAAAACGTTAACAAAACTTGTTAGAACAAACCACTTATTTATTTTTAAGTGCTTATCAATAATGAATTTGATGAACACATAAAGAATAAAAAACAAAAAGATCAACACGCCAAAAACACAGATATTTGTGGTTTGGCTGTAACTCACATTCATAAAAAATCGGAGCCAAACGCCCAATGTTTAAAATTGCGTATTCGGGTATTGAGGCGTTTTTTATTCGTGAGGCGAGGCGTAAGCCTCAAGGTGTTTTGAGGCGTAAGCCTCAAAATCAAAAGATTGCGTAAACATAAAATGATAAATTTTTTATATACTAATAAGTGAATAATATAAAACATAAAAAATCATAAGATATGAAGTGAAATCAAAATATCCCAATAATAAGACAACATGAAATATAGTTAAACTCAAAATTCTATATTTCCCAAATCCCAATATTCTTTTCATTGAAATATATTTTCAATTTCCAAAAATAAATATCACATAAGAACTCATAAGTCATCAGCACTGTCAATCACTAAGGGGTTCTTCATTTGAATCATCAGTATGATAAACTGCTCTCTACCCTTCCTCCTCTCCTATAGAGTCCAATGTCGGGCATTTACTTCAAGATTTATGTAAGTTTTAATATATAGAGCATGAGGCGTAAACCTCATGCTAGTGAGGCGAGGCGGACCTCAGCCAAGTTGAGGTGCAAGCCTCATAAAAAAAAACTCGAGACGTAAGCATCGAGGCGTTTTTTACTGGAATTGCGCAAAGGCGGGCCTCAAGGCGAGCCTCATATTGCGCAATTTTAAACCTACCACAAAGTCAAGCATGTGTACAAATAAATGTTGCCAAATAAATCAAGTAAACTTCTATTTTATTATTTTATTAAAAAATACATTGTACTTCAACAAAAAATGAGCCTTAATTGACAGCCTACCAAAGCTCATCATTGGCATGGCCGATATAAAGAGCTGTCATGGGAAAAAAGAGGCTTATTAAGAAGCATGATAGTATTGCATTTAGGCTTAAATCAATAATTTAAAGATATGGTTGTAGAATAGTAATGGTTGGCACTCATCTATTAAAAATAAGTTTGACTATTAGTATATCGCCTAACATTAATCTTTTTTTGGTCAACAATCCATAATAACTGGTGCCAAAGTGATAGGAAACACTTGAGTTCTTAAGTATTCCTAACCCAAACCAGTAAAATTACAGCAGCCAACTGCTGTCCACAGCAGCAAAACAGCAGAAATTCAGTGAAAACACGGAGAAAAATACAAGATTTCACTTGTATTTCACTAGAAATCAAAGAAAACAGCAAAGATACAATTTGTTCTTCAATCCGAGAGGAAGAACAACTCTCCAACGATCTCCGGCAACGCCAAGAGCCCAAGCACGCAAACCCTAGATCGCAAATAGAATTCAAATTCAAGATGAGGAGCTAA